CCCTTAAAATGGAGATTAAAACTAAAGTCGTCAGAGAAGTTCTTAAACAATTCTACTTTATAGTTCTATTTGATTTAAAAGTTATTAAAAACTCTTTCCAATATATATATGAATTATTTAATGAAGGGGGATGTATCGATTTAAATATTATAGTCCACTGTCCCATTTTTCTATGCATGGTATTTTGTATTATAATAGGATTAATTGCTTCTCATTATTATGTTAAAGACATTGCTGTACATATAAATCAGGGGTTCTTTATTAACGAATTTTTAGTTATATTGTTTTATGTATTTAATTCCTTTGAAAAAAAAATTGAATCAGAAGAAATGCAAAATTTAAAACCTTTAGTTGATAATTTTATAAATAAAGAAATAAGTTATATAAATGCGGATTCTGATTTAGACTTAAAAATAACATTTGTAAATACATTGTTATGTGAAAAGTTTGAAAAGAATAATAAGGGGTGTTTAAAAGAAACATATTTATTTTGTGTAGAATTGTTAATTTATATGATTATTTCTAACTTTTCCAATGGGTTAATAAGCACTGAAAAGACTTTAATATTATTTATTCTAATAATTATGAGCCTGAAAACATGTTTAAAAGCCTTTTTAGATAATGATGAAACAATAATTGTATATCTTAAAATGAGTGAGTGTAATATTTTTTATTTAATAACCTGTGTTATTATATTTATTCTATCCTTGTTTGTAAAACTTGTTCGAGATGTTTTAGTTAATGTAATTCTATCTGTTTTTTACAGTATTATTTTAAGTCTTCTTATTTCATTTATTTATTATGAAAAATATGAATTTTATAGCCGTTTAAAATTACTTTTATTAGATGAAGATGTTTTAATAAGAAATGTAAATTTTATTATTTCTGATAAAAAATTTGAAATTGAATTTATATTTATGGGGTGTTTTATACTTTATCTTATTACTATATTTCTTACATGGAGATTATTTTGGAAGAAAAAAATAATTGTTTAAATAGATTATTAAAATAACATTCTAATTTTTTAAAGAATTTTTATTAAAAATTTTAAGTTTTTAATTAAATGTTTTTATTATACTTTGATAAGATATACAGTAGGATATGAAATTTGTAACTGTCGTAATATGTAATTAAACATATTGAACTAGTTTATTGAATGAATATTTTTAGAAGTAAAATAAATTTTGTGTCTATAAATTTGACATAAAAATTTATCCCTTATGACAGATACAGAGTTAGAAAACAAAACAATAAATATTAACAAGATAGATGAAATAGATGAAGAAGAAAATAGAATAGAGATAAGAAGTACCTCTATAGACAGGTTGAATAAATTAGTTTCTTTGCCTACTGAGGGTTTCGGTAGTAACAAAAATTTTATTTGAAAAATAAAAAAATTGTAATACTTACTATTTTTTCTTTTTATAGTGCAAAAAGTGAGTATAAATTAACTTTTTATGTTGAAAAAACATTGATTTAAAACTACAAATAACACTTTTATATGTTTAAATAAAACTTAAAAAATTTTTTATAAAAAATTTTTGTAACACAAATTTTAGTTTTTAAAATTATTAATTAGGCTCAAAAAATTTTTAATATTTTACAAATAAAAATTTGCAACACTATTATGAAAAATAAAAATATTAACAAAAGTAAGATTAATAATAGAATAAGAAGTAACATAGCTTTTGAATATCTAACAGGTAATTTTACAATGTCTTACCTTGCTTTGAAATACAATGTGTGATTACAGAAAGTAAGAACAGTTTTTAATAATTTAGAAAGATTATTATCTTATAATTATGATGGTTTTTTTAGACAAGACTTATTTAACAAAATATGTTTAAACTAAATATTTTGTTATTGATGTCCATATCCTTGATAATTTAAACTAAATTCGTTTACGTGGTAGAACTATTAATGTATTCATAATTTTAAGTATTGTAAGTAATTTTATTGATGCTCAAAATCTTTGTTTTAAACCCACTCACTACTTTATTATAAAATTTATAGAAAGGAAAATATTAAATATTCTAATTTATTTGATGACAGTAAGTCTGCAAAAGAAATTAATTCAACTAATTTTTTTGCAGAGTTTAATGTACTTTAAAACAAACATTTCATGAGAATATTTTTAATATGGATGAGAGTGGTTTATATTATAAATAATAAGGAAACAAATCATATTTTTTAAAAAGTGACGATAGAAAAAATTTAAAAAAAAACAAAACAATGGTTTTAATTAGAATAACATGTAATGCTAGTGTAGAATTACTTGATACTTTAATTGTTGCAAAGTTAAAATCACCAAGAAACTTTAAAAATTTTTATCCTAAAGATCTTAATTGTTTTATAAATCTAATAATTATTTAAGGGTTGCACATGATATATTTCGTGAATATATTACATATTTAAATGAAGAAATATTTTAAAAATATAAAAATATTGTTACTTATAGATAATTTTCCAGGTAATAATATATCTTCACCTTCTAATACCAAGTTATTTTTTCTTTTACTAAATAATACTTCTGTATTACAATCTTTAGATTAAAATATTATTCAAAAAATACTATAAATCCTTTCTCAGTAACAATATTTATTTAGCAATAGAAAGTACTTAATTAAGCATTGACAAGATTTATCTTTAAATTACTTTAGTTGAAGCGTTGTTTTGGATAAAAGAAAGTCTTGCATCTATTAAAAAAATCGACTTTTTAAAACCTAATAATATGGGGAATGAATACACCGAAAAGTTTTTATTAATGAAGAATCTAAAGAGATTGAAGAAATATATGAAAGCAATGAATATAAAACTGAAGAGAAGATTAGATATTTAGTATCAATTATCAATATCTTAATACAAACTAACAATGCAAATGATTTGTTTTATCATTGTATAAGATTGAAAACTTTTCTCACAAACTTCCGATTAAAATAAAAGAGCTTTTGTCTAAATATAAAGCAAAACTAATCTTATTTTTGCAAATAGTGACAAAACAATGTAAAATTTAAAAAAAATTATAAAAAATATTTGTAACACTTTTGAAATTTTAAAACTTTTTTTAAAAAATTGTTACAAATTTCATATCATAATGTATTTATTATTTTGAATAATTTTAATTTTTATGTTTTTTCGTTACTTTTTATAACAAATATCGCATATTAAAGATTATTTTTAGAGGTTTTGTGATATATAAGAGAAGTTTAGAAATTTGGAAGTAAAATGACTAATATTTTAATTAATTTTATTAAAAATATTTCAAAATATAACTTCTCATAAATCGATCGAGAAAATATACGAAGTGTATATAATATAAATGAAAACAAAAAAGCTAGATGTTATTTTTTAGATAAATCGAATAAACCAGTTGCCATAATTGCTAGTGGTTTCGGTAACATATAAGAATAATAATTAAAAAAAATTATTTTTTTCATCAATTTCTCTAAAAAAATTAAAACGGTTTTGAGAACTTTTAAATTGTGAATAATAAAAGATAACAAAATTTAAAAATTACTTTTTCTTTGTTTAATATTAATTATCATAATTATCTGATTGGCCACCAGTAATCAATAAAAATAATAAATTTTAACAATAACTAATAAAAATAAAAATTGAGGTAAAAATTTAAAAAAATTTTAATGAAATAATAATTCTATAAATAATTTGGATCAAGTCTGAAATTTTCCCCACAGGGGGAAAATTTCAGACTTAAAAAATTCATAGAAAATAAATAAAAAA